CATGGCTGCCTTGCCCACCCCAGCTCTGGCCCTTTAAAAACAAAAACAAAAAACGTCGGCCTCACCAGCTCCTGCAGCAGCCTTGAGGCTTTGGGGGACTCGTGGAAGAGCCCCCCATGCACCATGGGGCAGTGGAGGGCAGCAGGGATCACACCCGGCCAGGCAGGAGCCTGTGAGTGCGGGGTTTTTTGGTTAATTTTTTTTCTTAAAGGGCCAGAGCTGGGGTGGGTGGAGCAACCTAGGGATGGGGGGCTCAGGGAGCGGGGTGGGGGTTGGGCAGCTTGTGCAGAGCCACCCATACTGCATGGGACAGTGGGGGGCAGCAGGGATCGCCCCTGCCACCCCACCTGGCAGCACCTGCTGAGTCGGGGCTTTTTTTTATCCAAGTGCCAGGAGCTGGGGTGGGTGGGGCAGCCATTGCCAGGCTGGGAGAGCTGGCAGGGAACGGGCCTGCGTGATTCGGCGATGTGGAGATTCGGCAGCAGCCAAATCTCCGAATCAGATTCGGCCGAATCAGTTCGGGACAGTGATTCAAATCACCAAATCGAATCTCTGTCCCCCGAATCAGCTGAATCTGCAGTGAATACTAGCCACTACACACAGGCCTAAGCATTGTTTTCCTAGTGCACCTACTGTCCTTTGTATAGGGTTGAATGTAGAGGATCCAGATGCATAAGAGATGTGATGAAACTAAATGTCACTGCTGCTCCTTGGACTGTGGTTTTGCAGCTGTGTGGTATCCTGCAGCTTTCGGATTTGTTTTTATTTTACATTAAACAAACTAGAGCAGATGCTTGGGAGAACAGCATTTTTTGCTCCTGCAGGCTCTAACCTGCACTGATATTTCGCATTACTATCACCACAACTTAGAATCAGTGTCCGAACTCACTTTCCTTTTGTGAAAGTGGTTTTACCACTGCAAACAGGGCGCTCAGAAGGATATTTTTAAACTCGTCTTTTGTTGTTTGAGAAAAATGGATGTTTCGCGAAGTGACCGATCGGACTTGCCGCATTCCAAAGTGTTTACAACTGTGTGGAAATGGCAGCCTCTGTTATGTTTTACTAAATGATTCTCAGATGTGTTTGATTGTCATAATTGAAATAATCTGTTTGAATATGAAATTCAGGGTGAAAGAAGGACTTTAACATTTAAGGCCTTCATCATTTAAGGTACGTTGAAATTGGCAAGAAGCAAGAGACAGGACCCATATTCCTTAAAAGACAAATGTTTGTTGCTGAAAGGGTAATTCCTGTAACAACATTTCCACCGATTTCTCTCCTCCTTCAAACGACAGCATCCAACTTTGTCCAGGAAAAAAATGGAATGGATGCAGAATTGCCCCTACATTCCTCATGCATTAACCTCATGCACAGCGAGAAGGTCTCTGGTATGGTCTATCAACAGAAGATCCATGCTCATTCTCTTTTTTCTTTTGCTTCCTTAGCTGGTCACCCAGATGCTGATGGCTTATCTGTCACGGCTCTCGGCCATTGCAGGCAACAAGATCAACTGTGGGCCTGCTCTCACATGGATGGAGGTACTGTGTAGTCTATGGACTGCTTTTCATTTCCTGAGTCTCCTTCTCTACGGAAGTTGTTAAATAATTTTATGTCCAAGTTTGCTCCATTGGTAACATTTGCTACCTATGCAGCTGTACCCAGTAGGGGAGAATCAAATCCTACTTTGTGAAGGTTTTTTTTTTTTCCCCCTCTCCCATTTGGATTTTTGTCATCCTTCATTTTTGATTGCAAAGCAATAGAAGATAGTAACACAAGTGATACAATGGGCAATGTGCTACTTGGTAAAGTAGGGTGCAGGAATAGGATAAGACAAGTTATATTCAGAGGGAGATGCACATATCTGTTCCTGCATTCCCTATCGGCAGCTAGATATTACTAATGTAGCAAGCCTTTTGAAAGTTGTTGATCTCTTTCTTGTACTTTATTTGTAATGGCATCTGCATAGAAATAGCAAATATTGTGCCTGTTTGCCATCACTGTTAAGTGGCTCAACAGAGCCTGTGCTGTGCTTTCAGTGCCACTGTTTACATCTAATGGATTGCAGCTGTAGCACTGATTTATCCGTTAATGGTCTTCCTCCAGCTCAAACAATAGACCTTATTGGACAGAGGGTGAAGGAAAGCATGGTGGGAGTAAGTGCTCAAGACCACCTGTGTTTCTTAGTCAACAATGCCAACCCTAATCCGGCTGGGTAGAGATGCATGAGAGTCTTCCTGTTTCCTACTGATGTAAGGGCTCCTTCTATCCTTTGTAAGACAGTAATTAGACCGCAAAACCCTTGAGAAATTTGCTAGCTTTCTTCTGTAGCTATTTTTTTAAATGCTTATCATTTGGGTCAATGCATTCTCCTTTAATTTACCAAAAAAAGAAAAACCCTTTGGGTTGAGACATGGAAAATTTTCGGCCCAAAAAGAGAATTGAACAGGAATTTTGAGAGGCAAATGATAGTGGTGAATTTACAGAAACACAGTGAAAGTGAAGGTTACAGCAAAGCCATTGCACATGGTAGTGAAATAGCTGCAATAAAATGTAACTTCTGAACGACATTTCTGGATTAAGTGAGAATCTTATAAAATTATCTCTTACCCAGTGCTTTAGAGAGGCGAACTGGTCAGCATTTTAAAACCAAACAGGGAAGCCAGGCAAGGGGGAAAGAGCCAGCAGAGCCGTCATTTCTCACTGGAATTTAAAAATCATGTTCCCTTCCTATCCTTGCCAGTCCTCCTCTGAGTGATGCGCTCCTTGTCAGTCATTTTTGTAGTTGCATAACTGTGTTAAGGATATAAAGAAAAATCAGGATAATTCTGTGAGAACAGGAGGCGTTAACTTTCATCCTCATGTTAAAATGATGGAAAGGGATGCAGAAAGGGACCATTCTCATTGCCTGCCACATGCATGGAAAGGAGATTTGACCTTCTGAAATGTTCTGTATTAACTCTCCTTCCCCTTCAGTTCTACGTATGCTCTGTCCTACATTGTTCCTCCATGCTGTTCTCTTCAGGGGGAGCCCAAGCTGTGCTGTCTTTGTGAATCAGCTTAAAATCTCTGCCATGCATGAGCACCAGTAAAATAAGCACACATCTTCAGCTTTTTCACAATCCACCATTTTCTCTCTTTCAGATTGACAACAAGGGGAATCACCTCCTAGTCCATGAAGAATCGTCCATTAACGTTCCTGCCATTGCTGCTGCCCATGTTATTAAGAGATACATTGCTCAAGCAGCAGATGAACTGTCCTTTGAGGTAAATAAGTAGAAGAACTTGCATTCCTCATTGTTGACATAAAAGAAGTAACCCGCGTGCGCATGTGTGTGAAAATACATTTGTGCATTTTGAGGTTCTAATGTGAAATGTAGCCTAAAATTCTGATTCAGTCAACATACTTGCACAAAGTAGGGTAAAGGAGTTGAGTTATCTGTAAAACACAAATTTGCTAGGCAGTAGAACAGGGGTAGGCAACCCCTGACACGGGTGCCAGGGCATGGGGTTGAAGGCGTGGAAGGGGATGGGATTGCACTGCGACAACAAGGATAGCACACCTGGCGGGTCATCCACTGTCCACCTGTCACGCTAACATCTTACAAGTCGAGGTTGTGGGTGTTTTTGGCACTCTACCCAAAACCGCTGCCAACCCCGGCAGTAGGATCTTTAGGTTAAATAGATGCTGTTTAGTGTTTTAGCTTAGGTTCTGAATAGCTCATTCTGCACCACCTTAAAAAAATGTCTAGAGATAATTTTAGAAGAACATTCTGTGTATGCATGTGTATGTGGGCATGTGTGCATGTTTAATTGGAGTGAGGAATATTACTCAAAGAACAGTCTTTCACTTAGAGCAGTAGTTACCAAACTGTGAGTCACAACCTGCGGACAGCAGTGGGGGCTCAGGCGCTGCGGGGGTGGAAGGGTAAGGGGCTGTGGGCCCCTGTGTGCACCTGGGGAGAGTGTAGGGAGTATGTGGATTGGGAGTGAAGGGCACCAGCAGGGCCAGGGGTCTGTGGGTTGGGAGTGAAGGGCATCTGGAGGGGATGAGGGCCTGCAAGTTGGGAGTGAGGTGTCATGCTGAGGAAAGGGGGTCATAAATGGGGTCATGCTGAGGAAATGTTTGTGAAGCGCTGACTTAGAGCCACAGTTTGAAAAGCATGCATCTCTCATATAGCATGAGAACTATGCACCTCTCATATGCACCCCCACCAAAAGAAGGGGGCATCATTTCAAAACAGCTCAGCTCATCGTGTATGCAGGGCTGTGAACTGAAAATTTGGCCTCAAGTATCACCAATGCTGGATATTCTGCACTTGAAAATCTGGTCTTGGGCTCTGTTGAAATCAGGTTCTGGTTCTGGTCCCTCCGGGCTATTAAGCTGTCCTGTGCAGTATGCATACACTGTTACTGTTTATGGGGCTTGGAAAGCATTGCATGCAAATATTAAGGAACATGCAGTCACTGCCTGTGAGGGTTTCTACCATCACAGTTTTAACAATGGGCAAATAATACAGATAGTTTGGTGCTCTGGAGGTTTTGTCCAGATTTGGAGTTGAAGCAATTATTGGAAACATGCACTGAGTTAATCAGAAAGACATAAGTAAATAGACTGTGTGCCACCTTTCAAGTTACATTATGTACAGTTTGGGGCACAAGCTATTTGGCACTATCCCAACACTAATAATAACAATAAAATAGTTTGCACTAATGGAGTATTCTGTAAGCTATCACAAAGCTCTGCGCAAACCATTGGTTTACTTTTGCAACAAGCTAAGTAAGGTGTTGTTACTAGCCTTGCATAGGCTTTACAGACAGGGCAACCAAGGCACAGAGATTACTGCTTGAATGAGTTCACAGAGTTGATACAGTTTTGGTATAAAATTATAGGTCTCCACTATCTCTGCATATGGACATCAGTACATCTGGAGCCATTTCAGAAAGGGAATGATTCAAAAGGGCTGCAGCTGTTACATTTTAATATGTAGGTACAACGGGAGAATGATACAAATGTAGCAAAACTGCTCCAACTTTATCACTGATTTATCTAGGGTAAAAATTGGAGCCCTTTTGCCATAGTTGTATCATTCCTGTCTTGTCTTTTAGTAGCAATTACAATGTAACAGCTGTTGCTCTTTTGAAATTGCTGCAGTTACCTATGTGTCCATGCCCTTTCTGCTGTGTCCATCCTCCTCTTGCTGTGTCCCAAACACTGTGCAGAAGCTATCTCTACAACCATCCTCTCAGACTGAATACTCAGGAGATCTGGCTGATTTCTGCTTTCCTAATCTCAAGGAGTGGTAATGCAACATAGCAGATAGTGCTCCAGTTCTGCTTGGGCAAATTGCTCCAGTTCTCTGTGCTTCGGTTTCCTGGTCTCTGAAATCATGGTGATGATCTCTCTTTTGCACAGCTCTGAAATCTACTGATGAAAAGCGCTGTAGAAAAGCTGGTTATTGCTGTTGTAAATTATTATAGTACTTAGCACAATATTGTGTCAGATCAGAAGAGCAGTATCACCGTTCTGCTTCACAGTTGGCAAAATCTGCACATGCATGTACACACATACCTGCTTACACAAAAACCTCAGGCCATACCATTTTTGCAAGTGAAGTAGTCTTAAAGGAAAATGCAAAGCTTCACTAATCTTTCTAGGCCACTCTGTCAAGTTTGATATTGCTGTCTTCCTGTCCTGCTCTCGTAACATCCTGCAGCTTCACTGCTGTGTTGGCCTCCTAATTCAGGGGAGCATGCACCTGTCAGTTCAGGAGCACCACATACATTTCTTCTGTTCCTGGGCACGACAGGGAGGGGGCAGAGAGAGAGGCAGGCATACACGGTGCACAAGGCAAACATGAATTCAGCTTCTAGAGGACATTTCCCAAGAGGTTTTGTGCTTTATTTCCGCAACACGTACTGCACAGTTTAATCGGAACATTTCTGTTCCCTGTGGCTCCTTTTAAACACCTTCTGCTTATGAATACATTAAAAAGGTGCATCCTGTAGGTTTTACAGTGCATTAAGTCTCTTACTCCACTGGCAGCTTATACAAGGCACGATGCCTCGGGGCACTTGTTTGTGCAGTTACTCATGTGGCTGTTGGACTGCACGCAAAGCAGAAGAACGTGTGTTCAGTCTAGCAGTGCTTTCTCTGCAACCATGTTAATGGGTGGCTGTTTTATTTTCTAGGTGGGAGACATTGTGTCTGTTATTGACATGCCTCCAAAGGAGTTGACCACGTGGTGGAGAGGCAAACATGGATTTCAGGTATGCACCGGTATTACAGCCGAGGACGCGACATGAATAGAGAGGCAAGATTTGCTGAACTGCCGTTGCTGCTGATATCTCTGTGATGCATGATTTTCTACACCAAGGCTAGGCCAAGTGACCCTGCATTTGCTTTCTGAGTAGGGAAGGTACAGGTGCAAGATTTCCCCATTCCTTTGCAAGCTTGAGCAGGGCCTGAAATGGTCCAGCTGGGAGGGCAGAAATTGTTCCATGCTGGCAGTGATAATAAATTTGCCAAGGAGTCGAGAACAATGGGACCACACGCCCCATTTTTTCCCCTCCCCACAGACTTGCAGAGTTGGGCTGAAACTTATGGGAGGCCTCGCAATTAAATGGAACTGTTGTACTCTATTGCAATACTGGAGGACTCTGGAAAAAATTCGGACTTGCTCCGTGAACATTTGCCTCATTGTTCCATCCCTTGAAACATTTAAAGCTGGGGGGGGGGCCAAGCAGTGGTGAACCAAGGAGAACGATTGCTCTAGTGAGCAGACACCTCATTGCACTGGGAGTCAGGAGACCTGGGTTCTGGTTCACTGTGTTGCCTGAGAAAAGCAACCTGCATAATGTGTGCTTTGATTCCTGCATTTGGTAGAAGGGGATTAGGCTGACTTGACTTCATAAAGCACTAGGTGATCAGTGAATTAAATGTGCTGTCAGAGGTGTTTGGCATGTTAATTGGAGGATTAGTCATTTCCAGGTGGATGGGCTTGGTGGTCCATAGGTATTTTCTGTTCTATATTGTAATGAGAACTGTACGTGTAGAGTCATCCTCCCTGTTGACTGTAGCAGAGATTTCGGCTAATTTTCCGGAGACTTTTATTGGAGTTAGGCACCAATTAGGCACTATTAAACTGAAAGGAAGTTGGGGTCCTCACCCCCTTAGGTGCCTTTTAGAGTTTCAGCTTGAGCTGCTCTCACCCCTTTGTTTTCCTAGTGCTGGCGATGTGCAGTAAAGAAAGCTACATTTCTGAGAAAGCAGAGGCTTTGATGGGTGAGAGCTGATAGTCCACCCCTTTGTGCTCTGTGTGTTTCCCCACAAAGGCTGCATTTCGAACAGGAGAGAGACTCTTTCATCCTGTAGCTGTTGGCTGTTGTAAACTGGTGGAATTTCCACTTTGCTCTGAATAGCAGAGTCCATTGAATAGATTCAAAACCCACCTGAAATTGGTGCTTATTGTTAACGGCAAACACAAGTGCTGACCTGTGTTCTCTCTCCAGATTTGGAAGATCCTAGGATTTCGCTGACAAACTTCTATGTCGCGCTCTCTCTCTCTCTCTCTCTGGCTTGCTCTTTCCCAGGGAGATATTTGGAAGCCTCTTCTTGGAGTAGGGTGCGTTTCATTTAACCTCAGCAAAAGATGCCTCCTTAGCTCAAGGTGGGCAGCTGACGACAAGCTGACTCATCAGAACTGCACTGCATCCCTATTGTGTGGCCCTGGAATTTGCCACTGTGTTTCATGTCACTCCTCCCCACCTGTTCCAGTTGTAACAATATGCACCCTGTTGGTGAAGAAAGGCTTGAACTAATCAGGGAAATGTTTGCTGCTCAGAGCTACCTTGTACTCCCCTTTGTCGCCAAATTGCAAAACAAATTATATGGACGTTTATGCATCACACAAGTGAACAGAAACTCTGATAGGCAACTGTGAGCATGGATTCATCTGTATACATGGGCAGTTACTTATAACACATCCCAGCAGCTGCTAAAATAAAGCACTGTCATTAAGGTAAATAGAAAACATGGAATTTTAATTGCACCTTCCATCCCCCACATGTCCCAGAGGTCTTCATAAAGCAATAAATTAGATACTGACAGTCGCATATTGGAAATGCAGCAGCTGTTTTACACATTCAGGAGCTCTCATACAGCTATGAATCTGGTTTGCCGGGGGATGCAGCTCTCTCGAGGACCTCCAGTGTTTAACCCATAATCTCTCTGAAATGTATCCATCACACCCCATCAGAAATCAGAAGCCACAAATTCCATAGCTGTACAAAGAAAAAGATGCTTTTAATCCTGCGTTTTAAGTGCAGAGCCCGTTGGAATGCTTGTGTGGGGGGAAAAATCCTGTTTCCCAATTTAGCACAGCTTTTTGAGAGTGCTGCCCACTGCAGGGAAGGGAGAAGATGGAAAAAAATCTTAGTATCTTGCCACTGCAAGCAACCCTAGAAATACATTACAATCTGCAAAGAGCCTGGTTGTAAAGTGCTTCAAACAGTCATATGGCAGGAGTAGTAATGCCTGTGGAAACAACTGAAAGTATGGCAACTTTCCAGCATTGGTGGGTGGGCAACCACTTGCTGTTGCCATTTCAGAACAGTAACTGTTGCAAAAGTAATACTAATTGATGTCCAAATAACTTTAATTATTCAAATGAATCAGCAGGAACCCAATGACTTTGAGTAGATTGCTTTTGTTCCCTTTGGGGAAGTCACTCTTTTTAGAAAACGTGTCTCTAATCCTATATGCTGTGTGAAATCCTTTTTCAAACTAAGATGTCAAACTGGGTTTCACATCAAGTCCTTTCTTATCTTCAAGGCACAGACGCTAGTGGCAAAAGGATAGTGACTGAGTCTAAGTCGCAAGCCACCTTCGGCCTCCTGCTGAGATAAATTTTATGGCTTTATGTTTCTGAAATATCTAAGCTTCGTTACAAGTTCCAGGGACAGGGAATGGTCACTCTGGACAGACTAAGGAAAGGGTCCAGCTCTTAACACAAACTTGGGTGCACTTCTCTAGGATGGGAAGCAGCAGGAACCCAGTCCTGCCCAATGAATAGGTTAGGCCTTTGCATTAGCAGATGGAGTTGTTGTCTCCTTGTATAGAGTTGTATCTGAGGGCGAGTTCTTGCTTAGTATTCTCATCTCTAAGCTGCTGCTGGTGTAAATGAGCTTTCTGCCTTCACTGGCTTGATCAAATGATTGATTGTTTCTTTTGACTGTTCTTTACCTTTCCCTACAGGTTAAAAAGAAAGTTTATTTTTGTTTTTAATTGCAATTCCTTCCATTTTACTTCCAGTAGCCCAGGGGTGGGCAAATTATGTCCGTGGGCTGGATCTGGCCTGTGGCAGGTCTTTGTCTGGCCTGTGGTGGGTACCTGCCTGGCCTGGGCACCGTCCAGCTGTAGCATGTCCTGCTGCTCCCTGGACATGCGGTGGGGCTGGGGCAGCTCCATAGCTGGACTGCCTTTCTAGGCAGCCCAGGTGGCATGCGCAGCCCTGACCCCGCATGCCCTGCACAAGCTCCAGGCTTGTCCACCCAGGCTCAGGAGCAGTGCAGGACAAAAGCTCCTGCTCAGCTTGGGGTAAAAGCAGCCGCTGCCAGTGCTTTGTGGTGTAGCTGCCCAGAGCACATGCAGGGCTGCCCTGTGCCTATGCTGTGTCACCACTGCCTCTGGGCTGCCCAGCGGAGCAGCGGTGGCAGTGCAGAGCAGATGCAGGGCAGCCCGGCATGGCCCGGGTTCCAGGAGGCTACGCCAGGAAGCTCTGGCAGTGGCAAAGGAGAGGGACTGCTTTTCCTCCTATGCTGAGCAACAGATTCTGTCCCACGCCACCCTGCTGAGCCTGGGCAGGCAAGCCTGGAGCCAGGCGCAGGGCATGTGCGATTGAGGCCGTCCTGTGCAGGTCCCCAGCAGTACCATGGGCTGGCAGTGGCAGCAGCCATTTAGTCCCTGCCACTACCTGGGCTGCCTAGAAAGACAGTCCAGCTGCAGAGCTGCCCCAGCCCCGCTGCGTGCCCAGGGGTTGGCAGGACTCGCCACGGGCAGGCATTGGGAAGCGGGCCGGGTCGGGGCTGTGCCTGGGTTCCAGCTGATCCGATTTGATGGGAGTGAGTCCGGTGCAGGCACAGGGCATTCTGGGGCTGTTCTCTGTTGGCGGTGGCAAGGTGCGTGGGCTCTGGGCTGTTGTGGGGCATGGACTAAATGGGTCAGGGAGCATGTGCACGGGGTTCCTGTGTACACCCAAATATACCCTCAAACACCACAGCGACACCCCTCCGCCCACACAGACACCCCACAAACACTGTACATACCCACACCCTCCCCCACACGCACACCCGTGCACCTCTAGGGGAAGCCCCACACACAGCTACATGCACACACCCCAGCAAACACGCATGCACCAAAACTCCCCCATGCACACCCCACAGCCGCCAATGAACACCCTACAGCCCCCCCATAAACCCCATACCCACCCACATACTCCCCCACACCCCACATACACACACATCCCCCCCACACACCTACATAACCCCACAAACCCCGTGAAGACGAGGGATAAGATCTAGGAAAGATAGACTGAAGCAAAGAAATAAATAAGGGGAGATATTTGAAAAGAAAACTGGCTGTATCAGATATCAGCCCAGTGGGACCAACAATTTGGGCGATAAACGCCCCTGCCGCATGCAGCCACAGCGCAGCACTCAGGCAGTGAGGAGCACAGCCGGCAGTGTGAAGAGCTGCCTCCAGCTGGTAAATCCAGTGTGATGGAAGGGGCGTGGGGGGTACTCAGTGCCCCCTGCAGTGAGGGAGGGGGCAGGGGCAGGCTCTGCCCAGGTGGGGCAGGCAGCTTCTGCCACTGCTTGCACCCTGGGAGGGCATGGGGAGGAGGTGCATGCCCCCCTGGATCTGCATAGGGCAGGGCGGACTGCAGGCAGGGATGTGTGGGGCTCTTCTTGGCGGGTGCTGGGCTTGGAGTGGGTGACGGCAGCACTGGGAGGATGCTGCATCCACCCCTTATTTCACCGCCACTCCAGTCCCAGTGCCGCTTCCACCAGCTGCCTGGCACAGCCCTGGCTCAATGCTTCTCATCCACCCACATGCTGGGAAAAGCTGGGGTTGTGGCTGGTGGCAGCAACGCTGGAAGCTGAGTGGCTGTAAAATTTGGTGTGGATGCAGCATCTTCCCAGTGCCTCTGGCGTCCTCTCTGAGCCCAGCACCCACAAGAAGAGCCCTGTGCAGCCCTGGCTGCAGCACG